TTGACTGGCGTTTACACGAGCTGATATTCCTCGGTCTTCGCTCATATGCTGATCCTATTCAATTAGCGTAGGATCAACAATCTATGACCATAAATTTTTGAATACTCTTCAAGAACTTCTAAATTGGCTGGTCGCCTTGAGCAATGATGAGTTCGTACATACACAGTCTTCACTTGTGACTTACTCGCTTTGTGTACGTTGAACGAAGTGAAGCTGGGATATAAGTTAAGAACTTTATTATGTCATCGGCCTATTTGCCCCGGTTGATTGTTAACATGTTAACTGGCTTTAAATGGCTGTATATTGACCGGTTATCTATCCTGACCCTACTCATCTATGAACATGTCACAAAGAGATGACTGCAAACTTTTAGTTTACAAATTCTTAACTTTTTGCCTTGAGTTTGTGGAAGTTGGAACCTTCCATGTCTATTTTCACTCGCTTTGTGTACGTTGAACGAAGTGAAGCTGGTATATAACTTTCAATTCCCTTTCATTTATCAGCTCACCAGCTCCAGACAATTATGATCAAGTTGACTGGCGTTTACACGAGCTGATATTCCTCGGTCTTCGCTCATATGCTGATCCTATTCAATTAGCGTAGGATCAACAATCCATGACCATAAATTTTTGAATACTCGTCAAGAACTTCTAAATCGGCTGGTCGCCTTGAGCAATGATGAGTTCGTACATACACAGTCTTCACTTGTGACTTACTCGCTTTGTGTACGTTGAACGAAGTGAAGCTGGTATATAAGTTTCAATTCCCATTCATATATCAGCTCACCAGCTCCAGACAATTATGATCAAGTTGACTGGCGTTTACACGAGCTGATATTCCTCGGTCTTCGCTCATATGCTGATCCTAATCAATTAGCGTAGGATCAACAATCCATGACCATAAATTTTTGAATACTCGTCAAGAACTTCTAAATCGGCTGGTCGCCTTGAGCAATGATGAGTTCGTACATACACAGTCTTCACTTGTGACTTACTCGCTTTGTGTACGTTGAACGAAGTGAAGCTGGTATATAAGTTTCAATTCCCATTCATATATCAGCTCACCAGCTCCAGACAATTATGATCAAGTTGACTGGCGTTTACACGAGCTGATATTCCTCGGTCTTCGCTCATATGCTGATCCTAATCAATTAGCGTAGGATCAACAATCCATGACCATAAATTTTTGAATACTCGTCAAGAACTTCTAAATCGGCTGGTCGCCTTGAGCAATGATGAGTTCGTACATACACAGTCTTCACTTGTGACTTACTCGCTTTGTGTACGTTGAACGAAGTGAAGCTGGTATATAAGTTTCAATTCCCATTCATATATCAGCTCACCAGCTCCAGACAATTATGATCAAGTTGACTGGCGTTTACACGAGCTGATATTCCTCGGTCTTCGCTCATATGCTGATCCTAATCAATTAGCGTAGGATCAACAATCCATGACCATAAATTTTTGAATACTCGTCAAGAACTTCTAAATCGGCTGGTCGCCTTGAGCAATGATGAGTTCGTACATACACAGTCTTCACTTGTGACTTACTCGCTTTGTGTACGTTGAACGAAGTGAAGCTGGTATATAAGTTTCAATTCCCATTCATATATCAGCTCACCAGCTCCAGACAATTATGATCAAGTTGACTGGCGTTTACACGAGCTGATATTCCTCGGTCTTCGCTCATATGCTGATCCTAATCAATTAGCGTAGGATCAACAATCCATGACCATAAATTTTTGAATACTCGTCAAGAACTTCTAAATCGGCTGGTCGCCTTGAGCAATGATGAGTTCGTACATACACAGTCTTCACTTGTGACTTACTCGCTTTGTGTACGTTGAACGAAGTGAAGCTGGTATATAAGTTTCAATTCCCATTCATATATCAGCTCACCAGCTCCAGACAATTATGATCAAGTTGACTGGCGTTTACACGAGCTGATATTCCTCGGTCTTCGCTCATATGCTGATCCTAATCAATTAGCGTAGGATCAACAATCCATGACCATAAATTTTTGAATACTCGTCAAGAACTTCTAAATCGGCTGGTCGCCTTGAGCAATGATGAGTTCGTACATACACAGTCTTCACTTGTGACTTACTCGCTTTGTGTACGTTGAACGAAGTGAAGCTGGTATATAAGTTTCAATTCCCATTCATATATCAGCTCACCAGCTCCAGACAATTATGATCAAGTTGACTGGCGTTTACACGAGCTGATATTCCTCGGTCTTCGCTCATATGCTGATCCTAATCAATTAGCGTAGGATCAACAATCCATGACCATAAATTTTTGAATACTCGTCAAGAACTTCTAAATCGGCTGGTCGCCTTGAGCAATGATGAGTTCGTACATACACAGTCTTCACTTGTGACTTACTCGCTTTGTGTACGTTGAACGAAGTGAAGCTGGTATATAAGTTTCAA